AAAAAAAAAAAAAATATATAAACAGTAAAAAAAAATTAAATTTTTTGGCAAAAAAAGGGCTTCACACCTTGGAAAAATTAAAGTACTTCTAGTAAAAGTAGTATATCAATTACGATGATTTGGACGACGTAAAAAATAAGAAAAAAACAGCTACGTACTTGCATCTTATAAATGGCATTCCAGCCATCCTGAACTCCCGTAACCTCAACATACTTGGACACAGATGGAAGTAGCAGCTGATCCAGGATCTCAAGCTTCCCATTCTCCCATTTTATAGCTTCTAGGCTCATGTTTATTTATTTATTTATTTATTTATTTCGATTTTTGATCAAATAAATTGAACCAGCTTTGATCGAATAAATTGAAAAAGTCCAGAAGATTTTTCTTATCGTATAGTGGACCTTAAATCTGAATTTGTAACAATCAAATCGAGAATCTTCAGAGTATTCTAAGGGTTACACAAGAGAGATTAAAGTTTTAAAAAATTATAAATTTATTGAGAACAACAAGTATAATATAAAATATTATGTAAATCGTGGACAATGTACAGTTGGCGTGTGAAGTGTGAATCACCATGTGATGCGCAAAAATATTCACCATTTTAATGGAGATGTTGGAATTAATTTGTGAGGATCCACGATAACTTGTTCTAATATCAAACAAAAAATTTTTTTAAAAGGTACGCGAAACATTTAATTATTTAAGCCTGCCAACTCGCTGGGCTCGTAAACACCACGTTCGGTGATAATCCCAGTGATCAGTTCGGCCGGTGTGACGTCAAAGGCAGGATTCCAGCAGTCGATACCCTGAGCTGCGATTCTCGTTCCGTTGACGTTGGTCAGCTCGTCGTGTGGCCTCTCCTCTATCTTGATGCCGTTGCCGTTGGCTATCGAGTAGTCAATGGTCGTGAATGGCGCTGCCACGTAGAATGGCACTTTGTGGTAATTCGCCAGAACAGCGATCTGTGGAAGTGTATAGTCAATTATTATATTATTATTATAGTATATATTCAAACATTATTTAAATAGTATCCACAAAATTATTTTTTTTTTAGACC